CCGACAGCTATCTCGCGAAGCCCTTCTCACCGACAGACCCTGGATTAGCCTCCTCACCAACTCCAACCTCTGCTCAAAACCGCGCCACAACCCACTGACCCGGCATGACGTACCTCCTCACGCTGCCAAAGGATCGTCGTCAACAAATCCTAAGACAACCACCGTCCACAACCGAAGGCGTCACGCCAATGCCTCCGTCCTTCAACCGTAGACGCTTTTCGACAATGGAGAGGAGCTCCAGAATCACCAATGGTGATGGCGGAAACGTAATGGACCTTGCTTTCGTAGGGATTACGGTTGGGGGACAAGGGAGAGGGGAGAGGGAACTCAGAAAAGGGGACCTTGCTTTCGTAGGGATTTTCAGAGAATGGAAGAGGGAAATCCCAAATTCAGATTTCATTAATTCAATGCCTATACCGACTGGCTAAAGCCTTCGATAAATTTGTTGTCCAATACCGAAGGGCTAAAGCCTTCGGTAAACACCAGCCCAATACCGAAGGGCAAAATCCTTCGATATGTGCTACTTACCGACGGTCCTGAAGGCCTTCGGTAATAGTCCTTCGGTAAACAGTGCGTTTATGGTAGTGGTCAATCCAGTCCACCACGGGTTCTGATCGGATTGTGTTGAAAAAAAATAACTTAAAATTTCAATACAGGTTAATTTTGAATCCGGCTCACTCGAGTTGAATCTGTGGTGAGTCAAGTTGGCTCACGAACCGATGTAATTTTTCTAATAAGTACTTTTTTTGTTAGGTTAGGCATTTTACAAAATCTTAAAACCGAGGCTGGGGTGGAATCATTTTTGTATAGAATAATTAGGCAACATGAAAAATATACAACTTTATACTTAGTAACTCAATTTTATGCAAAAACAAATCTAAATCGCTACGAAGCTACTCAAAATTTTGTTGAGAAGCTTTTGTTATTTTTTTGTGTGAATGAAATCATATGTTTAATTGATCCTAAATATAAATACTGTAATTAAGTGAGTCAGTATTTAACCCACTAACCTGTGGTGGTCTGGGTCAGATTTAATTTTTTTTTTCAATGATAAATAAACTAGGTTGGATTGGCCCCATAATGAGTCGAGCCAAGTTGGTCCGAATGACTCATTTTGAAAACCATAATAAAAACTATAAGAAATATAAATCTAACCTTCAACCTAGTATAATTGCATAAGAAAAAAATGTGTGTCATAACTATGTCCAACGTTAATCTATATTAAAACTATATTATTATGACATGACTAAGAATTGTTAAACCCCTTCGAAAGTCCCTATTTATGTTGGGTTTTCCCAGTTAGATCCCCGTCTTATGTTTCGCCAATTTGGTCCTTAATATTAAAAAATTGACTCAATTGGGTCCTTGCCGTTAAATTGTCTTAACGGGGTTAAGTTTTTGATGACCTGACACATTGACGTGGCCAGTTTTTGCCACATCACTCCTGTCATGTCAGCGTCATATTCCCCAACAGCAGAAACCCTAATTTCCCTCTTAGTAACCACATGGAAATAAGGAAATTCATATTATAACAACCCCAATATTAAACTAGAAAAGAAAATGAACAAAAGGAATGAGTAAATCAAATTTTGTGGGATCTCCTTATTCCTGAAAACATGTATTAAAATATTAAAAACTGATCCAAAATTTTGCAGTTTAGTTACACCCTTCATGGCCAATCTTTTGCAGAAATCATTTGCTGCATGATATATCAATGAAATTAGACAATAATTATTATGAAGTCAAATAATGAGAACCCAAAATTTGTTGGTTATACCATTTTTTTGAAAGCATCAATTGAACCAGAGAACTTCAAGTTTTTGTAATCTTTTGCATCGTAGAAGCCCATCATCCGCCACCATCACCAACGCAAGTTCGTCTCCGTCGTCGGGCAAGCAGCGCCTCCCTTGCAGCATCGTGACCTGCAAACACACTCAGAAACCAAGTGCGAGAACTTCATAATCAACCACATCGTTGCAATCGCTCCACCTTCAACTGCAACAAAACCCAGAATCGCGAGAAACCTCGGTTCGTCTTCTCCTCCTTCATCAATCGCCTCACACTTGCAAAGAAGAGGAGAACCCAAAAAAAAAAGAGAGAAAATCAAGAGAACGCCAATCTCGCGACTTCCATGCGTGAACACTGTGAAACCCCTCGTGTCTTCGTCTTCCTCGAACCTAGCTTCCGTAGAGCCACCAAACCTACAAATAGAAAATCCTAAAAACAGTAGCCACCCTAAATCGCGAACACCATCGAACCAAAGCGCCAGCCCCAATTCCCACAAAGCACCACTGAAACGATGAACCCTAATTACAAAGAAATTCATAAATCCAAATTTGGTGATAAACCCTGAGCATCAATCGCTAAAGTTGAAGATGGTGAAGGGAGGTTGAAGATGATGAAGGGAGGTTGAAGATGAACCCTAATTTGGGTTTCAATCATCAGAAACTTTATTTTTTTATTTCACATTCTATGTAATTTGCTTGAATGTGTCACGTATAAAAAACTTATTAAGTAAACGTGTGAGATCATAAAAAAACTTAATTCCGTTAAACCAATTTAACGCGACAGAACCCCAATTGAATCAATTTTTTAATATTAAAACCTAAATTGGAGAAATCTATAAGACGAATCTAATTAAAAAAAACCCATATAAATAAATTTTGGAAGGATTTAACTAGAAGAATTAAATTAACTCAACAAACAATCTACTTACTCTAAAAATAAAATAATAAAGATAATGTGAAAACAATAAATGTAAAATATAATTACAAAGGACTTGTAAAAATATACAGCACTGAATTGCAACAGTTTCAAAATTCGATAAAACGGATTTTGAAATTTCGGGTCTCCCATCTTCTAAATATTTCTTATAGTGAACTATTTTTTAAAATATGTTCATGCGTGGTGTTGTGATTTTAAAAACTCCACAACTCTCTCTAGCTTAAAAAATTTCCCATAAAAAAGTGATTTTCTCTGTCACTATAACCAAACACACATTACGAGACTCGCAATACATAATCTTCAGTTCCTGGTCCAACCAAAGCATCCTCCTGAATTTCCCACACAGGCATTCTAAATAACATAGCAGATTGAAGAAGTAACTCTTGTTCACGAAACTCCAAAGATGAAGCAAGATGCTGCAACCTTTATTTCCATTGCAGCGCACAGTTTCTCAGCAACAGAAGCTGAAGGAATTTGAAGTGGACCAAGTATGTTGTGAAACCATTGACCCATTCTCCATCAGAACCCACACCAAGCCTCCAAAGTTTTGTTTGGACTTCTCTTTATAACCATAGAAGACAAAAAAATTGTACTTCTATGCGTAGGGATAGAGAGGGTAGTTTTTTGAACAAAGAAAACAAAATAAAATTAAAGCATCACAGTCTGAACTCTGAACAGTTGCAGAATTAAGAAACTAATAATTAAAAAAAGGGAATAAAGAATAAATAGAAGGATGAACTTGTTCTTAATCATTATTATCCAAGTTGTGAAGAAAAAAAAAAAAAAAGAGAGCATCTTTGATTGCAACAGTGTCTTCCTAATGGTTATCACTTAAGCAGAGTTTAAGGGCATGAAAATGACAGGAAGAGAGAGAAAAAAAGGCTCGCTTTTTGATGGGTATATAATTTGGATTTTGAAGAGAGCGCGGTGCACATGTAGAAAGAGAAAGGGCTTTAGTGAGGAATAGGATTAGAGAAAAGCAGCATAAGCCCTTAAGAGTTAAGAGTTCCTTTTTCTCTGTAATAACAATAATGTGAATAATTGTTACTGTTAATATTGTTATTATTGCTTAGTGTTTCAGATCTGTGTCATATTAAGCACAGCCGAGGTTGCAAGCAAGGTGGGGTGTTTTGCTGAATGTGGTAGCCGACGCTTTCTTATGGCGTCTGAAACGGCGTCGTCCGCGGATGAAGAAACCGTTCCTGTTTCAGCTGCGGGTGCAGGAGGAATTGATAAGAGAGGCAGACACCGGATTCTTGCTGAATTGAAGCGTCTCGACCAAGACTCCAAATTTCTTCAAGTTAGTTCACTTTCTTCTCTCTTCTATTTCATAATTTTTCTTCAATTTTGGAAATGTAGTTAGTACTAGAAATGCTGTAGAATTAACAATTTCCTACTGCGGTTTGTTTATAGTGTGCATGCTAGTTCACTGCTGAAAAATTAAAAACAGAAAAAACAACACAGTGAAGAAAATTTTAAGAAATGATTTGCGCGTATTTTTCTGATTTTGTTTTCTCTTAGGGTCATAGGTATGTATTCGTTTAGTCCCAATTTGCTCCCTAGTTTGAGATTCTCTGTTTAGATATAAGGAATCTGCCTGTTGGTTTTTCTGTTCTATTTCATGCTTGATAAATTAGTGCAAAGGACTTTCAATTTTTATGCTTCTCTCTTGGTGATTCTAGTGTGTCAACTTTTCTGGTTAAGTTTTTTACATTGAGAGAAATTTTGATCCTCTGCAATGGCTGCAATGGCAACTGTCTATTTCTCTGGTTGAGCTGTTCCTAAATAACAATTCATTTGTTATTTACAGGTGAAGATTGCAATATAGCAATTATGAAATTAGTTTCACAAATCAACTAGTTCCAGATCTTTTATATTTTTTTCCTTATTCTTAAGCTCCTCAGTTTAATATATTTTGATGCAATGAAAAGTTGTTGCCCTATTTGAAATTATCTTCAGTTCTCCTTGATACCACGGTTCTATTGAAAATTGGAGGAGGTTGTTATGAGGGATCTCATGATAAATAATATTTGTGAAGATTTGGTCTCTAACCTAGACGAATGGTGTTATGTTACCCACATTACTTAGTGAGATAAGCTATAGTTGTTGTCTTTCTTGATCGCCAAACCTTTTTCCCCGGATCTTGAAACCATGCAATTTACTAATAACATCAGTTATTATGTATCGCATATTTTCTTGTATGATCATACATTCATCTTAACATTCTTACTTGTATTACTATCACTTTTTTCTTGTGTTACTCCTATGGAGTCTAATATTCTCTACAACTGAGTATTGCCAGTTGTATAATAGGAGAGAAAACTCCCCTTTGAGCTTGTGAATTATACTCCTAATAGTACAAGAAAACTTCAATGCCTTATTTCATTTCAACCACCTAACTTGCATCTTGCGTGTGACGTCTTGAATAATCTCCATATTATTTTGTGTATTATTGATTTTAGACATTTAAACTTAGAAACTTCTGATGTGACATCTCCCATTTTTACCTATAAATTATATTCGTCTTTTTTAAATTGCAATGCATGTAGTTTGTTTTACTCTTATTGTACTGAAAATCCTTATTTCCAAAGTATGTTCCAAAACCTCAAGTTTAGAGTTAGCATTTGATTCTAAAATTTGAACTATATCATCCATGAGCAGTATGTATTTAGGGATAATATTTTGTATGTTCCATGGTGAGCTCATCCTAGATTAGATTGAATACAGAAGGCTAAGCCTAATACAGACTTTGCAGGAACGTTCATAGTCTCTTCTCTGGGAGTTTTCAGGCTAGTTGTCTTATCATATATGTCTTGTATAATTTAGATATAAGCCGCAAACCCTTCTTTTCCAAAGCATTATACAAAACTTTCAGTAGCACTAGATCATTTATTTTCCCTATTTAATAAAATCAAGCATATGTATCTTTTTTTTTACTTTCATATCTTTTCATTAGCCTATGTAGATGACAAAATAGCTTCCTGACATAAAACTAAATTCATTCTCTGTAATCCTTACCTCTTTTCTTAATCTATGTACAATCATGTTGTTTTAATAAGGTTCCCATGACTTGTAAAAAATACATAAAAATTGGTCATTTAGGTCTGTTTGGCTTGAGAAAATATTTTTATTTTCATTTCTTATTTTCACAAATAGTTACAAAACATCACTTAATGTTCCCGTGAAAATGTTTATGAAAGAAAGCAAAGTTAAAATGAGGTAGGTAGAAGTTTTGTAATTATTTGTAAAAGGCACAAATGTTTTCTCAAACCAAACAAGCTCATGGTTCCCATCATTCTTGTTATATCCGTGAATGTTTCATAAGAGATCTATTAAATCAACGTTATGGCACATTACCAAGTTGAATGTTTTCTTTCAGTGGAAGCCAAAGCAAACAGTTAGCCCCTCTGAAAACATTTGTCATTTCATTTCATTTGGATTAATTCTCTTTCCTCGGATGTTAAACAGGAAGAACTGGAAGAGCTTGAGAAAACAGAAAATGTATCCACCATATGCACGGAGTAAGTAGTGTTTCATTACTTGTTAAAGGAGAAATAAGAATATCCTTCTAAAAGTTCATGGTAGTATATTTTTATTGTATGTAAATCTGAAACAGACTTATGTTAAAATATTTGTCTTATGTGTGGTTTGCTGCAATATGCTGAGCCTAAACAATTTCACTTGACGTAGTGCAGCTTGCTACAAAACATGGAAAGTAGGCCTGATCCACTACTCCCAGAGTAAATGGCTATATTACGTACATGTTTACTTTTAATTTCATTTTGGTGGTATAGTTGTAATTGAAGTGAGTTCTCATCATCAATTTCATCTCCTGACAGAGTCCATGGACCTGTAAACCTCTTATGGGATAGATGGTTTGAAGGGCCTCAAGATCCACAAGCATGTAGATGTTGGATACTTTGATTTAAAGCTGTGTCAATTGCCTTGCCTTGAAAATAGGATGCCATGCCATGCCACATGTAACTACATTAAAGTGACTCTGCAAGTGAACAAAATGCTTGATCACATCTTATACCACGCACACTAATTCTTTTACGGCTCCTTCCTTTCATTACATTACATTACATTATGATGAATACTGTTAATGTCTACTCACATTCATTAACTGTAATCAACGGAGAACTGTTATTATTATTGCTTGTAATAATCACTAGGAGAAAATTATAGCTAACCATCACGACTTGGTTGCTATTTGCCTTAATTGACCTATGTTACGGGATTGAGAAACGAACTTGGATTATAGCTAACAATTGTTGTAACTGAGATATGTTATAGACACGTATTTCAGCAGCATTTACCTCGAAGATAATCACTTTTGGAAAGGCCTAACATTGTTTGAAAAGAGTCATAAACCAGTCATGCATGAGTGCCAGATTTACTGGGCAAACCAATTGGAGGTTATGAAAGCAAAGAAAGTTTGCAATTTTCACAAAACCAAGTTCAGAGATTAACTTACCAAATACTTATACACTATCACAACATAATGACATCAAGTGTCAAATTTATTACACAAATCAATGAAATTTCATATATCTCATTTGTTATAAAAGGTCTACTCCTCAAATCAATTTGATTGCACTTGACACATAATTATTTTAAGCTCTTCCATATCTGACAACTTATCTACTTCATCAAACATTGTGATCTAATATTGAGATTTCATTAAATTTAACAATGACTTTTCATAAAAAGAAATAAAATCTTTGAAAATTAAAAAAAAAAAACTAAATTTGTATATCGAAATGCACAATTTCAAATACAAATTTTGCTTTTTGAAACGCATAATCCAAAACGTGTAAAAGAAAAAAAATACTCCCAAATTATATATAATATGAGAAGTATCTAGAAAGCATAATTTGAAACCACCACAAAACAGAAACCATCGCCAATGACCACAAGAACCAACACAAATTATCACTAGCAATCACCAGTCACCAACAACAACCACCACCATAAATTCTCCACTAACAACACTCAAACACTCCCATTCTATAAAACTATTACCATGGTGTAACTTGATAATAGTCGTGCATGTATAAAACATGAGGTGCATAAAGAAATTGTCCATCTTAAGCTAACAGCCCCGTTACTTTATCTCTTTTCCCGTTTATTTTTGTTGTTCCTCATTGATAATTTCTTCCTACACCCCCATAAAATTTGTAATTCCCAAGCTATCTTTTATTAAAAATATAATAAAAATCTCTGCATCTTTCTTTTTTAACCCTTTCAAATTAAATATTTCAGAAATTATTTTCAGATCCAAAAAAGCTTTTCATAAAATTCAATCTAAAATATATTTTTTACATATTCCAAAATGAGTATCCAATCAAAATACCTAATTAAATATTTCGAAAGATATTTTTAGATTCAGAAATATTTTTCTTAATATTTAATCCAGCATGCATAAAAAATATATTTCAGATTCTAATGATACTTTTGGATCTGAAAACATAGTTCGAAATTAAATATATTTTTTACACATTTTGGCTTAAATATTTTAAAAGATATTTCGAATATGATCTGAAAAAAATTAAATCTTAAAAGCTTTTTGTTTTTTATTTTAATTCACCCAAACAGCTTCTTCCTTTTTTTTCCAATTTTTCCTTCTCCTTCAATCCTACACCATCCATCATTTACCGTCCATCTCACCTTCTCAACAAAGGGGAGGCACGATGCAAGAACAAACGCGGTGCATATGATCGGAGGCAGGCGTATGGGGGTGAAAGAATAAAAGGTGCAGAGGGAATTAGGGTTTTTGACTAAATATTCACTCAAGGGTAAAAAAGGAATATGGTAATTGAGGGAGGTGCATGTAGAAAAAATAGAGGTTCAAGAAGAAAAGGCTCCCGTGCTCTTATGATCCAAATGTTAACCTTTTATTCGTTTGAGGGACAAGACAGTAAAATTGCAGGTGTTCTATTGGATAGTAATTATGAATGTTGAGTTCTGGTTTTGACTGGGAAGGAAATGAGAAAAAGAAAGTGATAAAATTGAAGGTAATGGCAGATATAATGAGATACAATCACATCACATAGAAGCGATGTGGATGTTGCAGAGGTGACATCATGTGATGGAAATGGGATTTAAGACAAATAGTAGCCACGGAATTGGACATATAGTCAATGACAGTGCCACTAATAGTAACAGTCCACACACAATTTTCTTACACAGAGAAAAGACATTTTTTTGAGCTCCATTGTTAAATTCTTTGCGTACTTCTGTTGTCTAAAACCAACCATCACATTTTCAATGCAATATAATCTAAAAGAGCTTTTATTTCACTTTATTGTCTGCCCGAGAAATGCTCATGTTTTGGGGAAAGGAGCTTCCATAATCTCTCATCTTCCATTTTTTAAACAAAGGTTTAGCACCAACTATTTCGGCTTTATTTCAACATGTTTAATATTTTGGATTAAATTTCTAAATTTATTTAACTTTTCTAATTTTAAAACTTTTCAATTGAATTTTTGTCATTAAGAATTATACAATATGATAGTTATCTTATATTATCATTCCATTAACATGTTGTCTCATTATTTAAAACGTAAATCATCTCTCTAAAAACTCTTCTCTTGAGTTTTCTACCTTTTCTAACTCTCGAGTTATTTTTTTGACGATCAGGAGGTGTCTAGCACAACAATGAAATCTACATTTCTATCCCATCAATTGCTTCTATAGAGCGAGTAAGTTTCTAGTCCTTTTTCCATTTGATGTTTTGTTTCTAAAATCTCTAATTTAGGGGTGACACATGTGTCATCCACCTTCCTTTTCTTGTTCCTTGTTGATCAGTGGTCTTAAGGACTCACTTTGATTTCAATTATGCAGGTTGTAGGCATTTTTAGAGTTTCTTGCGTTTGAAGCAATTGTTGAACGTTCTTAGAGCTGTGTAGTTCTCTTTAAGGTAAGAAGAGCTAATAACCTTTCTTATTGCTATTTCAATTTCATGAGTTTAGTTAAATTGTGTTGAATTTGGTTAAACTAGAATTTTGCATGCTAAAGTGTATATTGTGATTGGAATGGTTTAAAATAGTTAATTGATTACTTGTTACTATGATGAATTTGGTTGGAATGAATCTCATTGTGATTTTGGTTATGCTTGGAAAGTTAGTAATGATATTGGATTAAAATGTTGAGGAAGAGAAAGTTAAGCTAGGTGGTAAGTCAAATTTTGGTCTGAAAATGGAGTTTCACTAGGTGACTTTTTGAAATAATGGTCTAAATGAAGAGGGGGTGATTTATGAACTTGTGGTTAATTGAAACTTGGTTGGGTGATGAATGTGCAAAGAATTGGTTTAGAAATGTTAAAAAAGCAATATATAATGTCTTGAAATGGGTTTTTGGTGCATTGTAGAGATTTTGAATGGTGAGATTGTGAATTACAGGTTCTCTGTCAAAATGAAAGTTTTTGAGAGTATTGGTAAATCATTTCTGACTTGCTAGAGTCCCTAAGTTTCGTGCTACATAATTATGCAACAAGGCTAGGAGAGCAAGAGAAGCTCATTGCGCGAGTTTAAATGAGTTTTGGTAATAAGTTCTAGTGGTTAGGCGAGCCAACTCGCTGGGCTCATGGAGCTTGCTGGGCCTATGGAGCTTGCTGAGCTCATGGAGCTTGTTGTTTTGGCTCTCGTTGGACGAATGGGGTTTGCTTGCTAGGCGAGTTTTTGAGGTTTTTGGCAGTGAAGGTTAGGGGCTAAGCGAGCTCTCTCGCTGGGCGAGCAGTTCGAGTTGTTGTAGATATTTTGATTTCTCTTCTATTTTATTTTTAGTTCTAATGATGGAATGTTATGTCAATTGCTTAGTAATGTGATTTTAAATGATATGATGGTATGAATAGTACTCCATTTGGTTTGAAAAGAATTTCTAGGGTGAAATTCTTGGTGGTGATTTGAAGTAAGTGATGTATTGATGTAGGGACTCAGTCTTGGAAGTTATCCTGACGCTCCAATAATCGTGCCATCTCAGACAGAGAAGAGAATTATGTGGTAAGGAGTAACATGAGATCCTAATCTATGGTTTGATGTTGTTTGTTCATAAGTGGTAGACAGATTAACATTGTGTGGTAGCTTGGGGGGCAGTTGTTTCACTACCTAACCTTGACATAGTCTGACAACAATACATCTATCCGGATGCTTTTTCCTAGGTCAATAACATGATTAAGATGTTTGGTTTGTTTTGAATGAAATGGAATGTATAATATGAATCTAACTATGTAATGATTGTTTATTCTTTTATTACTAGTTCACCCTTCTTTTGTATTGCTTTTTGTTTAATTGGATTCGTTGATTTTATGTGACGATGGTGGGTGTGAACAGAGAGTGAAGATGTGTCTCTAGAGTAAACCTTAGGTGAAAATATTACTAATGTTTAGATAATATAATGCTTATGTTCTTTCTTTTAGTTGTATTTGAGATCCTTTTATATTAAAATTTTGTATATAAAATTTAATTTATTATTACATTTAGTATTTATACGTCATCTCTGGTTAAATATTCTATCATATTAAACTGTAATAATTCCTGAATAATATTTTAAACTATTTATTTAGAATTTATATTATAAAATATATAAAATTATAAATTATAGAACAAATATTATGATTTTATAATTTTAATTTTTTCACGAATAATTTTCATTAAATACAGCAAATTTTTGATGGAAATCTTCATCTCGTCCTCATAACTTGTTACAAACTTCTTGTAACAATGTATATCGTGATGACAGTGCAAGTACCTATCATATCATATCATATAGTTAACAAATAATTTAACAGTGGTTCAATTATAATCTTTTAAAATTTTAAAGATTTATTCACAAATTTAATAAAATTTCAATTGAAAGTTTCAAATTTATCAAGAATTTAAAACATAATTAAACTTCAGATTTATTTACAAATTTGATCAACTTTAAAGTTATGACTTTTTCTTTTCACCTAGGTATATATCTCGGTCCATTCTGTCAACCGAGTCAGTATGTCTTTTAGACACCGGTTGTTTAACAACTGAGACATATAATGATTTAAAAATTATAGTCCTGCCACCACGTCTGATACGCTTCTCGAAAAAATCGAAACATAATATACGATTTAAAAATACTAATTTTTTACTAGTGAAGATTAATTCAATTGAAAGCAGAACCCAGTT